ATGTTTAGTAAACCTCTTTCGCTTTCTCAGTAAACTTTCCAGCCACTAGTGTAGCCCCCCGTTAATTAGGTCATCCACGTAGCTTTGTTAGATTCTCGAAACGAAAACAAATGTCAATTTATCCGACCTTGAAAACTGTCATGTTGACTGTACGTTCATCATCACACCTTAGTCTGTATATAGCTGTTCTATAGACAATGATCTTTCATCCTATATCCTAGAATCCTCTCATTTTCCTATTCTTATGGTGTATCTTCAAGGATATATATGTCGTCTCGTGAACTAACCTCAAAGCCTGCAATTTAATTAATGTTTTTAACAGGAATGCTGCTCTTCTCTCTCACCATCCTTTCTAAAGGCATAAAAATTCGGCACTTTCTGTATCATGTTTTAACTCCAGTCTAACCCACTCCATCCGCGAGTCCCACTGTTTGAGGTTCCTTACCGAGCCCTGAACCAGGCCCCGTCTTTTATCAAACGGCTTCTCCATTGCTCTATGACGTATATACCCATGGCCAACACCCTCAGCTTCACTACACCCACCAGAGGCGGCAGTCACCTCTGCTCTCCTCAACACCACCACTACTATGCTATATTTAGGAAGACTCCTACTTAAAACACCATAAATCAGTTGTATGCTCGCCTCATATTCGGCCCCTGCAGACACTGTAACTATAAAGTGCTCTGCTAGTTTATTACATCTCCATCAGTGTATATATTTGCCGGCCTTTTTGTGTTACAGAATTAGTCTATTGTGCCAGGTAATGTGTCTCCTGGAAACACGTTTACAGCTGATAACTCTACACTTAGAAGCTTATAACAAAGTCACTTGTTTGCTTTTTAATTCAGATACCTGACAGACCAACGTATTAACAGGTGGTCGGTCAACAGGAGATTATCTAGTTTGCTGTGCTGGTGTTCCCTTCACCAGACCTATACACAAAGACTTAGGGCTCAGTCATCCACGAAAACTCACCGGTTAGATCACTGGTTCGCGGGGCACGAATTGCAGGACGTATTTACGGCACATTACGGCATTACGGCACCTAGTGCACCTTCACACACCCAGTACACAGAATGACTGTACATCAGGAATCGTTCACACCCTAGGCCCAATTCCCCCCTACAACAATGGTTCTTGGAACTCATCGCTTAGAGTACCCCAATTTCCCGGGATAAACCTGGCACACACTTACACCAGTGACCACAGACTCTGTGTCTCTGTTGACGTTGTCACCCGGACGGTCCTCTTCGACGCCACAGCTCCGGCCGTTGTTTATGAAGTGACTTTGTTACAAGACTTTTCTTAAGATGTGATTAATTACCAGACATCATAATATGGCAACAATGGAAACAGAAGTATTGTTACGTACCTTAAATATTGGTGGATTCCTGTCACACGATGAGCTATGAAACCTTACCTGAAATGGCATGAACACTAATTATTTTATTTCCTTTGACACTTTTTATACATTAAAACTTTCATATACCACATGAATAATATTATTTTAATCCTGAAATATAAGCATCGCAGGTAAAGGTGACGCTTGAGCGTCGAGGAGGTCCTTACCTTCTGCTGGAGGACGTGGAGGGCTGGAGGACGTGGAGAGCTGGAGGACGTGGAGGGCTGGAGGACGTGGAGGGCTGGAGGACGTGGAGAGCTGGAGGACGTGGAGGGCTGGAGGACGTGGAGGGCTGGAGGACGTGGAGGGTTGGACGACGTGGAGGGTTGGAGGACGGGGAGGGCTGGGGGACGTGGAGGACTGGAGGACGTTTGAGGGCTGGAGGACGTGGAGGGCTGGATGACGTGGAGGGCTGGACGACGTGGAGGGCTGGACGACGTGGAGGAATGGACTACGTGGAGGGCTGGATGATGTGGAGGGCTAGGGCATGTGGAGGGCTGGAGGACGTGGAGTTCTGGAGGACGTGGAAGGCTGGAGGACGGGGAGGGCTGGAGGACGTGGAGGACTGGATGAAGTGGGGGCTGGGGCATGTAGATGGCTGGAGGACGTGAAGTTCTGGAGGACGTAAAAGGCTGGAGGACGGGGAGGGCTGGAGGACGTGGAGGACGGGGAGGGATGGAGGACGTGGAGGGTTGGAGGACGGGGAGGGTTGGAGGACGTAGAGGGCTGGAGGACGCGGACGGCTGGTGGACGTGGTGTAGAGAGGTCAGGTTGGGACAAGTGATGGACCAATCACCACCATCATGCTGGCGGACACATGTCCAGCAACACCACCTAATATTTCAACACAAGACGAAAAGCACTGCACCAGGAATTAGAGCCACCGACACTTATGTCATTTTGCAACAACAGTTAAGTTCAGTCTTTATCTAATATTTTCTGTTAAACACAAACTATCCCGAGTCAACACTTTGCAACGTTCAGCTGTAGCAGCGTTTTCTGCCCAAATGTCTCACACATAACACAATGAAAACTTTAGAACACTTTTAGGATATTGCTAGGCAAGAATCGATTAATTCTTCCGTCCCATCCCAAATCCTTAGCCTGATCCCTTGCCAGTGCTTTATAGTCGTAATGGTTTGGCGCTTTCTCTTCACAATAAAAAAATATATATACCAAATCTGTCATTAACATTACAACATCCAGTACCAGTAAATTACTTTGACTAAACGCTTGCTTTTATTATCTATCAGTTGCAGGGAAATTTGCAAATACACTTTTCGTATTTCCATCACACTCACAATAGCACAGCACTCACTGACCGGCTGCAACCCGTCTTCAGACCAAGTCCTTCCCATCCAGCGGCCGACCTCAAAGATGCTTTCATAAATTTTAGCATGTTGTTCATTCAAAACAGGAATTTTCTCCAATATAAATTAATATTGATATATAGTAGCATATTTAGGCACTGGTTAGGTTATGTTAAGTGTTTAGTTTCTGTTGGCGATTATTTGTATTTGTAGTACGTGGGTGAAGCATTTACAGCTTTGTAGTTTGAACAAAGTCGTCAGCGAAGCACTTGTTTCGGAAGTGTTCGGACGTGTTCAGTTGTGAGTCGTGTGTAGACCGTTTTCATTCATAAACAAGAGGTTTGGCGGGTGCATGGAATGGACGTTGGTTCTTTGTTCAGGGGACGGGCTGCGGGCTGTGACTTGACGCGCTGAAGAAAAGGGTTCAGGTCTTCCTTTCACAGCCCGTCCTCCAAACAAAGGCCCAAAAGTAATTACATGCACCCGCCAAACCCCCTGTTTATGAATGAAAAGCGGTTTACACACGACTCACAACTGATTTCGTTCGGATAGTTCCGGAACAAGTGCTTCACTGACTAATTTTGTTCGAACTACAATGCTACAAATGCTTCACCCACGTACTACGAATGCAAATAATCGCCAACAGAACCTTAACACCTAACCTAACCTATACCTATATATGCACAATATGTTATTATATATATTATAATATTAATTTATAATTGAGAAAATTCCCGTTTTGAATGAACAGCATGTACAAATTTTTGAGTGCGTCTGTTAGGTCGACCGCTGGATGTAATGGACTTGAGTCGAGGATGGGTTATTCTTTCAAGAGTGGAAAGAACCCACTCAAAGAAAGGTTTAGTTTCATCACGGTTTCGCCTCAAAACTTCGGTCGCCCACATCATATTTTCCAAGCGCAAATTCCCTCAATATTTTACCAACGTAATTTTCTCGCATATAACTCAGTTCTTCTTCATGAGGACGTCATCATGAGAACTTCCTCATGAGAACTTCCTCATGAGCACGTCTTCATAAGCATGGACGGACTGTAAACCCAAGCTTCTAACAACCCCAAAAATCTATCTCTGAATGTATTATGTTACCAAAACTATATTTTGTGGAGTGAAATGAACAGTTTTGAATATTAATTTGTTGTTTTTTTTTGCAAAATTAATCTTATGATGAGCCAGGTTAGGTGTTTTGGTTCTGTAAATAATTAAATGCCTTTGTTGTGCGTGTAACTTACCGATGAATCCTGACGCCACGCCCTGGGGCGCTGTCAGCGTCACCATGACGTGTTCAGAAAGTTTAACAACACGTGTGTTGAATATCGGCAGTTTCTCAAATATAAAATAATGTAATTATGTAATCATGTGTAAAGTGTTATGCATTCATAAACAGGAAGGTTTGGCGGCTGGATAAACTAACTATCAGTCCTTGATCAGGAGGCCGAGGTGTTGGGAGACGTGCGCCTTAAACAAACGAAGTGAACGAAGCATTTGAAACAATGTTTTCACAGTAAATCATGACAACAAAGGGCCGGCGGGTTCAGAACCTATTAGTCATATTCTGACTTTTTTCAAATATACATAAGTCAGTATTTGACTTACAACCTGAGCAGCCCATCCTCGACTTAAGTCCATTACATTCAGCAGTCAACCCCACAGACACATTCATAAATTTTAACATGCTGTTCATTCAAAACGAGAATTTTCTCAAGTATGAATTAATATTATAATATATTAGCATATTATGTATAAATAGGCATAGGTTAGGTTAGGTCAGGTGTTTAGGTACTGTTGGCGATTATTTGTATTTGTAGTACGTGGGTGAAGCATTTATAGCGTTGTGATTCGAACAAAATTCGTCAGTGAAGCACTTGTTCCGGATATGTTCGAACGTCAGCAGTTGTGAGTCGTGTGTAAACAGCCCGTCCTCCAAACAAAGATCCAAAAGTGATTCATGCACCCGCCAAACCCCCTGTTTATGAATGAAAAGCGATTTACACACGATTCACAACTGCTGAAGTTCGAACATATCCGGAACAAGTGCTTCACTGACGAATTTTGTTCGAATCACAACGCTATAAATGCTTCACCCACGTACTACAAATACAAATAATCGCCAACAGTACCTAAACACCTGACCTAACCTAACCTATGCCTATTTATACATAATATGCTAATATATTATAATATTAATTCATACTTGAGAAAATTCTCATTTTGAATGAACAGCATGTTAAAATTTATGAATGTGTCTGTGGGGTCGACTGCTGAATGTAATGGACTTAAGTCGAGGATGGGCTGCTCAGGTTGTAAGTCAAATACTGACTTATGTATATTTGAAAAAAGTCAGAATATGACTAATAGGTTCTGAACCCGCCGGCCCTTTGTTGTCATGATTTACTGTGAAAAACATTGTTCAAATGCTTCGTTCACTTCGTTTGTTTAAGGCGCACGTCTCCCAACACCTCGGCCTCCTGATCAAGGACTGATAGTTAGTTTATCCAGCCGCCAAACCTTCCTGTTTATGAATGCATAACACTTTACACATGATTACATAATTACATTATTTTATTTTAACAGGAAATATTAGATAAAGACAGAATTTAACTGTTGTTGCAAAATGACATAAGTGTCGGTGGCTCTAATTCCTGGTGCAGTGCTTCTCGTCTTGTGTTGAAATATTAGGTGGTGTTGCTGGACTTGTGTCCGCCAGCATGATGGTGGTGATTGGTCCATCACTTGTCCCAACCTGACCTCTCTACACCACGTCCACCAGCCGTCCGCGTCCTCCAGCCCTCCCCGTCCTCCAGCCCTCCACGTCCTCCAGCCTTCCCCGTCCTCCAGCCCTCCCCGTCCTCCAACCCTCCCCGTCCTCCAGCCCTCCCCGTCCTCCAGCCCTCCCCGTCCTCCAACCCTCCACGTCCCCCAGCCCTCCCCATCCTCCAGCGCTCCCCGTCCTCCAGTCCTCCACGTCCTCCAGTCCTCCAGCCCTCCACGTCCTTCAGCCCTCCCGTCCTCCAGTCCTCCACGTCCCCCAGGTCCTCCAGCCCTCCAACCATCCACGTTCCCCAGCCCTCCCGTCCTCCAACGCTCCCCGTCCTCCAACGCTCCACGTCCTCCAGCCCTCCCCGTCCTCCAGCGCTCCTCGTCCTCCAGCCCTCCCCGTCCTTCACGTCCTCCAGTCCTCCACGTCCTCCAGTCCTCGTCCTGCAGCCCTCTTCGTCCGCCACCTCTCCACATCCTCCATTCTCCCCGTCCTCCAGCCCTCTTCGCCCTCCACGTCCTCCAGCCCTCCACGTCCTCTAGCACTCCACGTCCCCCAGCCCTCCTCGTCCTCCAACCCTCCTCGTCCTCCAGCCCTCCTCGTCCTCCCGCCCTCCACGTCCTTCCAGTCCTCCACGTCCCCCAGCCCTCCACGTCCTCCAGCCCTCCCCGTCCCACAGCCCTCCACGTCCCCCAGCCCTCCACGTCCTCCAGCCCTCCTCGTCCTCCAGTCCTCCACGTCCTCCAGCCCTCCCGTCCCCCAGCCCTACTCGTCCTCCAGTCCTCCACGTCCCCCAGCCCTCCCGTCCTCCTCGTCCTCCAACCCTCCACGTCCTCCAGCCCTCCACGTCCTAAGGCAGAAGGTAAGGACCTCCTCGACGCTCAAGCGTCACCTTTACCTGCGATGCTTATATTTCAGGATTAAAATAATATTATTCATGTGGTATATGAAAGTTTTAATGAATAAAAAGTGTCAAAGGGAATATAAATAATTAGTGTTCATGCCATTTCAGGTAAGGTTCCATAGCTCATCGTGTGACAGGAATCCACCAATATTTAAGGTACGTAACAATTTACTTCTGTTTCCATTGTTGCCATATTATGATGTCTGGTAATTAATCACATCTTATGACAAAGTCACTTCATAAACAACGGCCGGAGCTGTGGCGTCGAGGAGGACCGTCCGGGTGACAACGTCAACAGAGACACAGAGTCTGTGGTCACTGGTGTAAGTGTGTGCCAGGTTTATCCCGGGAAATTGGGGTACTCTAAGCGATGAGTTCCAAGAACCATTGTTGTAGGGGGGAATTGGGCCTCGGGTGAACGATTCCTGATGTACAGTCATTCTGTGTACTGGGTGTGTGAAGGTGCACTAGGTGCCGTAATGTGCCGTAAATACGTCCTGCAATTCGTGCCCCGAGAACCAGTGATCTAACCGGTGAGTTTTCGTGGATGACTTCTAAGTGTAGAGTATTCAGCTGTAAACGTGTTCCAGGAGACACATAATCTGGCATAATGGACAAATTCCGATAATTCTGTAACATAAGAAGGGCGGCAAATATGTACATTGATGAAGATATCTCAAACTGCAGAGCACTTTACGGTTACAGTGTCTGCAGGGGCCGAATATGATGCGAGCATCCTACTGATTTATGGTGTTTTAAGTAGGAGTCTTCCTAAATATCGCATAGTAATGGTAGTGTTGAGGAGAACAGTGGTGACTGCCGCCTCTGTGGGTGTAGTGACAAGTGAGGATGTCGCGGGGACATTTATACGTCAGTGAGCAATGGAGAGAAGCTCGATAAAGACGGGGCCTGGTTTCAGGGTTCGGTAAGGAGCCTCAAACAGTGGGACTCTCGGGTGGAGTGGGTAAGATTGTGGTTAAGACATGATGAGGAAAAGGGCGGAAATTTGAAGCCTTTAGAAGGAGGAGCAGCACTCCTGGTAGAAAGATAAGTTAAATATTTGAAGGTTTTTAGGTTACACGTTACGCCAGATAAATCCTTTGAGATACAGCACTAGAAGATTAAAATCGGAGGATTCTTAGTGATCGTGGCTGTTGTTGTTTTAGATTTAGCTATTCAGAATGAAATGTCCATGTAGCACGGGCTTTGGGAGCCAGTAATCTAAGTGATCGGAAGACAGATCAGTGTGTATAGGATGAATATAGACTGCCTAGGGTGTGTGAGGAGGAGTGTCCTACCAGTTTTCAGGGCCGTTGAAAGAGCATTTTTTTCTTTTTGAGAATCTGGCCGAGCTATGGGGATGACATAATTAACGGTGGGCTGCATTAGTGGCTGAAAAGCTTACTGAGAAAGCGAGATGTTTACTAAACTTGTCACTGGAGGAATGTTGAGATTACAAGTGTTTAAAACAACGGGTGTTACAGGCTTGCCAACAAGAGCTTCCGAGAATTAATCGCGTAAAGTCAAGAACAAATTACGAATAACGACCAGAACGTTTACTTGTGGAGCCTGTCAGGAAGTGTGGGGTGGATCTCGACACTGCTACTCAGAGAAAGTGAAGGATTGAGGCCAACTGAAGGTACTGATAAATTGAGAGATGTTTCAGATATTGTTGTACCCGGTGACCTGAAACCATTTAAACGATGGAAATCTCAAACATTGAAATGATCAGTTTAGTACAAACGACAACGATTGGAAGTTGATGAGGGATAGTATGACAAGGCGTCAGAACAGCGCATGTTCCATCTGTCATACCCAGTGGAGCTGGTACAGAGTGACTGGGCACAAAGGATTGGGGAACACCAAGGTTTGGAACCTCAGGAGTTAACTGGCATTACCACAATAATGTGTAAGTCTTCACACAAATAGAATCTATAATGAGCCTTGATTGTGTAATTGATAATGAAGATATTTGAGCCTGTTCAGATAATGTGATCCATGTTGGGTGAATATTTTACCCCATGAGCAATTTGAATGTTCCTAATGGGAAGATCTCTAGTAAGGAAAGAATTTCATGTTTTTGGGATGGGGGCATTTTGTTATGTTCATATTAAACAATATCATCCATTTACAAACATTTATTATTTGATAAAATACACAGCAGCATTTAACTTCAGTTCTTAGGTAATAGAATCCATTAGATGCTATATCCTTGGGATGTATTCATTCTGTCTGTTAGTTCATGAATGCCTCTAATGGCTCCTGTTCTCCATATAGGGTTTTTATCACATTAGATGTTTCCCTCGTATATGTGGGTGAGTATGGTCTATAGTGTTGTTGCAACAATATTATTAACACAGGCCACAGCGGACTCAGGTGGGTGACTGGCCATCCATCCTTGTCTTGTCCCGCAAGTCAGCTTGGGGTACCCGCCTCTACTGAGCACCAGTCCTCCACTCTACAATCCCTCAACGGTCATAGAACTGTTCTCATATAACCTAAGATCTTTAGTTAAAAAAACTATCCACAAGGTCCTAAAAAGAAAGTGTAGTTACACTACCAATTCCATCCCATCCAAACCAGACCTGGAGCTAAGTTACAACTGTTGTTACCGCTCTTATTATGTCAAGATCTTATTATCTTTAATCCACACTCACTATTCTTCTGTCAAATTGTAGAAAAATAATGTATTTATTTTTGTAATTATAGAAAAAGATCAGAACATCTCAACCCATCACACCTTCACATAACTTTGCACTTTGCTCTGATCTTTCTCAACACCAACACCGTATTGGTATTTTTAATACTGCGTCACAATATTTTCTCTTAGGTAGATATAGTTTTACCATCTTTGTTCTCAAAACTCTAACACTTCTTTACATCTCTTCCCCCTAGTCCCTCGAACATTTTCACATGATATATAGGAAAGTGAATTTACAACATCGAGTCTCCATAAACACGTAATCTCAATATCATATAGGATTCGGCGTTCGGCCGTGGACAGAGGTGGTTGTCTGTCCAGTCGCTCCCCAGTTTCATCCTCTCGCTGATAGTGGCTGGTTGTGGTGTATCAGTAGGGCGGGCCGTGTAGACCTGTGGGAGGGAGATGCCCTCGGCACCTGTGAGGTGCGTGGGTGAAGGAGCTGCTGCATTATTGAGTTGGACTTTGTCAGGAGTTTGACCTACTCTTTGATAGAGATGGCATTGCTGGCCGTTTTGTGTGTGGCAGTTAAGGACGTGGTGGGGGTGCAGCTGGTTGGAGGTCACTGCGCTTTGTTGAAGTTCCATGGCGCTGTGGTGTTCTAGGAGATTGTACGGAAATGTGATGAAGTGACTTTACAGTTGCCTGATGGTGCGGGATCCATGCATGTGACGAAACGTAGTGGGTCGGCTAAATGGGTAGTTGTGACGGGGGGGCTACCTTTTGGGCTCCCAAAGGATTTGGTCCGCAGGTTCTTTCAGAAATATGGCTACATTTTGTTCAATCGTGAGAAAGAGCTATCAGTACTCTCTGTATGATTACTAGTGTTACCAAGCCCTACTGCATTTCTCTGTTCCTCTAGTCCGTTATTATTTATTGCTACATTCTGTTGAATTTCTAACTGCTTAGTTTGCTGCTCTGCTTATTGCCTCCTAACTTCCTCTAGTTGCAACTAAGCTTCAATCTCAAGTTGTCTTTGCTGGTTCTGAGCCTCAAGCATCTGCTGCTGAGTCAACAACTCCAGTTGTTTTGGCGATTCTGCATCTCCAACCTCTGTTTCTCTGCTTCGAACTTAGCCATCTCTAGCTTAGATTCCATCTCTAACTTTAGAATTGCCACCTGGTCACTTGACTCTTCTTCTAATTCCTCTAACCACTCCTCGTCAAGTTTCTCCTCCTCCACCAAGTGTGTGACAATGACTCTTACTTGCTGAGCCTTTAACATTCTGGAAACTGTCATATTTAATTTATTAGCCATGTACAATAACCCAGACTTCTTAAAGTCTTTAATTTCACTAAAGTTTGGATGCTCCACCAACACAGCAACTTGTTCCTCCATTGTCAGCTTAATTAACACAACTAGCAATTACAACAACACTGAAGGTTTGCTTGGCCCCTGGCACAAGCTGTACACTTATCTCAATCGTGAAGTGTTAAGAAAACTTCCACAAGCAGCTCAGAATGAACAGAGAAATGATACACAGGCTTGGTTACGGTATCACTAGTTAACCACACAGTACTTAGGAAGGCATTAACAATTAATAACGTGCACCACTATTTAGTACATTAAAATATGGAAATTAATTCTCCCGGACATCGGCCCCCATTTGTTATGACCCTTGACCTCTGGGTATAGTTCCTCTGTTTTTGCAGTTGTAAAAAATATATAATAATACGGCCTTGCCTACTAAAAGTGTCTAGGGTAAATAATTCAACTGCTTACACAACAAAGCAACACACTTACAGTAAGGGGTAACAAAGAACATTCAAACATGTAAATGGAAATACAGGCAGCCAGAAATATTAATGCACCAGAATACAATAACACAATATTATTATAAGCACTGATCACTATTTTAAAACTTAAATGGATAGATTGTTATGCAAATAATGGTCTAACCAGGCAATTAGCTATGTTTCTAAACAATAAACAGGTACCACAGACTTCTCCTAACATGTCCACGCCAGGCAGCTCCACCCACGAGACTGGTGTTGCTGGAGCATGCACGGCATGCAGGTGTCTACAAGTTACCAACTAAAAACCACATGAAAACTCTAGATACTCTGCTATCAGAGAGTAATACTTATGTACATATTTATAACTAAACTTATATGCATATAACACTGCTAAGGTGTAAATTAGGAATTAAGTACAATCAATAAAGAGGAATAATTACCGGGGTGAATCAGTGACGCTAGCTGGATACACTGCAGCATTACTGGAACATCCCAAACATGGTCATCCCCCCATGAGACGCCACGGTCTCCCCCCCCCCCCCACAGGAATGAACATACAATAGCATTAGCAAAATATTACATA